TACATGGCTGGGAGCAGCAAGAACAACAGACACCATTGTTGCATCGAAAGACAGATGGAAGTGGAGGTCCATGATCGCCCACGCCAGTTGGCAAGGCACCGGATGATGATGATGATGATGAGTCACACCAGGCACACATGGGGAAAAGCTGGAGTTGAATTTTGTGGAAGTGGAGACTCAACTGAGGATGTAATGTCTGAAGGGGAAAGATTCCCTCTTGTGGGTGGTTGGAGGGTGTCAATGCAGGTCTTTTTTTTTTCGGTTAAAGGAAATTGGATCTTCTATTTCGAATTGATTGACTTTGGCAAGACTTGGGGTTTACTTTCTCTTCTGTAGTCTGTCTGTCTGTCTGTCTGACTTACTGATGCCCGACTGTAATTGGTTGCTTTTAAGCACAAGGGGGCTATCCCGAAAAATGCTGTTTTGAGAAAATTGAAGGTAAAATTTTTGCCCCTTGTTCAGTATGTTTAAAAGACAAGGAGCATTTTCTCTATAACCGAACAAGTATACACACCAATGAAACCAAACTTCTCTTATAGGTAGGGCAATGCCCACTTTTGGTGTCGGTCAAGATTTCTGGAAACCTTCGAAATCTGGGTTGGCCCGCTTGTCCTTAAAAGCGACCAATTGACCACCATTGTGCTGATGTGCTTCTCCTTACTCCAACTCAAACCTGTGATGTTTGTTTGTAACTTTTAAACTTACTTTGGTTTGAGGGATGAAAATGGTGGTGGGGAGGGGGGGAGGGGGTAAAATTATTTGTTTTGTTATTTCGTTAAATACTGGGCCTTTACTTCCAACTGCAGTCTTGTGGGTTGTCACTCAAAGTAGTCATAAAGAGAACATGTAGTTGTGTTCTGTAGGTGAAAGATTCCCTCAACACCCCCCCCCCCCCCCCCCCTTTTTTCCCCCTTTGTATCCCCTCAGGTGCTGGTCAGTGTGAGTAAGTGGAGACAAGAACTGGAGAGTCTCTTACAGCTTGACCACTCTGACCGCTCAGGTGCAAGGGACATGTGGACACAGACACTGGACGATCTGGAAAAGGTGACCTGACAGCCTGCACACATAATATAGCACGTCTTGGGTATCTTTTAACTTCATTCATCACTACCACTACAGTTATTGTTTGGGTTTTTTTTTGTTTATTCATTTAAAAACTTTTTTTTAAGGGGGGTGGGAATTGGAAGGCTTTTAAAAAGATTTCGGCGCTTTTATGCCCCCCATCAACATAATTTATATCACTCAGGAGGCGGGTTTCAACCCTGCCTGTCAGGGCTAACCTGAGCTGAAGGGGATACAGCATCCCAGATGAAAGACTGAAATACTTGATAAAAACCTTCCCCACTCAGGAATCAAACTAAAGTCTCCTTCATGTTACAGAGAAGTGTCTTACCAATGCACCGCAGATGCCGGTACAATTATTGGTGGTCTCTTTGTTCCATAGTGCATGTTGTGGAGATGTGTATATGGTTTTGACACTATACGACTATAAGTGTCTTATGTAATGATCGTTTGTCATGTTTAACTTAATTCTAATGCTAATTTTGTACTTTTCTGAGTTATGTTATTCATTCATTAGCAAAAAATTGGCACAGTTTTTGGAAACTCTCCATGCCTGTTTTTTTTTTCCCTCATGTATTTAAAAAAAAATGTTTCTCACACCCCAGTGGTACTGTGTGGCTCACAGGAAAATCTTTTTTTTTATCCCTGATTTTGTCATGTGAGCAAGGCTACATTAGATAAAAATAATGGCACTTTTATCGATCCCTGTTGTTAAATTTGGTTTGCAATGGCAGTGTAAACATATAATATTGACCAATGTCTCATAATGATACACAATATCACCCCAATACTTTATACAGACAATCTTACAAACCCAATAGTGTATTTCTGTGTCTTCCCTTCCCAACAGTGATGGACATCTGTAACGTAACATTTATATACCTGGTTGTCACACACAGAAGATGTGAGTTCGGTTCCTGCTTGGGGAGGATTTTAATCGAGTTCCTCGGTTTGCTGAGATTCTGTGTACCTCTCAGCCCAAGTTATAGCTGAAGGTTGGAGGGAGCCACTAGTTGGTCCTACCTATACTTTTCCTCAGATGTTTCTGTCTGTCTTGTCCTACTTTTTCCTAGCACCAAATGACCTTTCTTGTGTAGATGTACTTCTCTTTCCTCAAACAAACAAACAGTCGGCCCAGGAGGCCTCTGACAGGCAGGTTAAAAGCAGCCCGACATGTAAATGATGTAAATTGTGTCGATGGAGACAAAAGTTTTACAATTACAATTTTTTTCTGGGAATGTTTGGAGGGCGCCACCGGTTGGTCCTACTTCTTTACTTTCCTTCTGTTGTTCATGTCTATCTTGCTTTACTTTTTTCCAGCACCAGATGCCATTGTTGTGTTGAAGTGTTTCTCTTTACTCAACATTAGTTTAGTTAAATGAGAGTTTTATGGCGCTCGCCTGCATAAGGTCAATTGAGCGTGCTTTTACTCAACAACAACCACAACAGTTCTTTTTCTCCCCACAGACTGAAAAAGTGCTGAGTTCACTGTACCCACAGCTGATCCCCGCACAGATTACCTCTCCTGACAAACCTCTCCTCATGAAAGAGATTGTCTCAACCATCAATAAGGTACTCTCACAATTTGATTTCATGGTCTTGTTGGATTTATTGAAATATTTACCTTTTGTTTTAAGTTACAAAGCCAAAATAATCTCTGTTTGTAAATGTTTCCCTTATACAATTCGCGACCTCAGTGCTTTCTTTGTCGTATCTCCATTTTGCTAGCATCTGCGTTTTTTGCCATTTTCTTGTCCAAAAGTTGCCAAAAGTTGCCACAAAAATGACAAAAGTTGCCAAAAAAGTTCCTAATAATTTTCAAGCTTTCAACTAGCTGTGACGACGTAATATATTGAAAGAGGTAACTTAATCTAAAGCACCAGAATTTCTTGTGCTCTGTTTTTAGCATCCAGAATATTATTTGTAGCCACATAGAGTGTAAAAACGTGAAAAATAAAGGTGTCGCAACAGAATGAAATAAAAATTAGAGCAGCACACAAACAACCGCAAAAAGTAACAAATAAGGGCATGTGTCCACCTATCCGAAGATTGGCTGTTTTCACCCTAAACGTGTTTAATTCAAGAAAAAGTACAGGATATTACAATTATTACATGTAAATTATGGAATCACACACAAGGGGCCTGCCTGTGTCAGTATTCGGTTTTAGTGGAGACATGCTCTAACATAACATTTTTTTTTTTTTAATGTAGGAACCTCAAATTAAATAACATTACGCTATATAAACACATACACACAAATAGATAAAAAAAAATAACCCCCAAAAAATAAACACACCAACAAAGACGAAAAAATAAAAGACCTACAGCAATATAATAATAAACAGTATGTGATGTACTTATTATTATTCTTCATGTGAAAATAACTATACATGGACACCTTAAAATTATCAAAATACACGTCTATGTTATGAAGTAGCCTTTTCTTTTTGAAAAATGCTGAAATCGCGGCCGCGATTCGTGGACAAAAAATTTTTTTAAAATCACGGCGACAAATGTAGATGCTAGATTTTTTTTAAAGGTGAAAATGTGGCTTCCTCTCAGGCTCACTCTTTGTAATGAACTGTTTTCACTGTTATTTAAGATGGATATACGACAAGAAAGCACTGGGGTCGGGAATTGGGTTTAATGATCATGATGGATTCGTAAAAATACTTATTTTTGGGGAATAAATTAAAGTCACAAAACCAGATGTAACCTGTGTGAACAAGTATTATGTTTCAGCCTTTAATGGGATGATTGAGGTAATGGATTTTCATATTGTTAGTGTGGTTGTCAGAGTAGAATACTGGCTAAATGAAACCGATACTCTTGATCCAATGTCATTTTTGGAATATAAGTGCTGATTGAATACAAAAGTTTTTTTGTCCTCTACTTCTTTTGTATGTTTGTCGCACTCTTGTGACCCGCTATTTCCGGGGTACCTTGATAGTCGAAGCAGACTTTGTGTTGTTGAAGCTAGAGAGGTGAGCATAGTAAGCCTGATTCCCTGTAAGTACTTCTCTGTTGACATCCACCCCTTGGCGCTCATTTGACCTTATGCAGTTGTGAGCACCGTAAAACCTTAACTAAAACTAGAACTCTCCCTCACTTCACTTCACTCCCCTCCCCCCCTCCATTCCTCCTCCTCGTTTACCTTGGCCACTCCCAGTGTCGTCAGCTGGACCTGGTTCCCAAGACCCAGCGCGATCGTGCGGCCGAATGTACTCACAGTCTGACACACAAGGTCACAGAGGTCGTTAACACTCGGAACAGTAGGATCTTACAGCGGGTGGGTGGAATCGTGTATCTATTTGTATGTTTGTGTGATAGTGTTTTTTTTTTAAATTGTGTTTTCTTGTGATTTTTGTGTTTGTTTACTTGTGTGATTGCCTTTTGTTTGTGCGATTGTGTGATCATATGTGTCATGACGCTGTGGAATCAGGCGCTTGTCAATTTTGGGGATATGGATTTATTGGTCTCATCTTAAAGCCTGTCCATTTGCCTTGCCTTTGATGAATTTGATGAGAAAATTATCCATTTATCTGGGATACAAGTGGAGATATTGGCTATTGAAAGAGGTGGGGGTCGCCTGGTTTCAGAGGTAAGATTAGCCAGGAAATGGCCACCAAAGTTGAGTTATTTCCTTAGCTTGAGAGTCAGTGGAAACTGAAAATTTACGTCTTTTATGCTTTTAACCAACTTTTTTCCAGTAAAAACCACTCAGAAATGTGTTCTTTAAAGGGAATGAAAGGTGTTGAGCCAAAAACAAAAATTCAATAAAAATCCCCAAACCTGGAGGAAAAATGCCAGTTTCTTGACTTTCATTATTTTGATGAGCGCCTGATTTCAACACGCTGCCTCACATATTGTCTGAGTAATTTTGTGATGGCGTGTTTGTGTAATTTTGCGATTGCATGTTTGTGTGTATGTTTGTAATTTTGTGATGCATATAGGCCTATATTTGTTTGTATGTATGCAATTTTGTGATTGCATGTTTGCATGTATGTAATTTTGTGATTGCCTGTTAGTGCAGTAGTGTGATTATATTCAAATATATCATGTTTGTGTAATTCTGCGATAATGTTTATTTGTTTATGTGACAGTGTAAATATCTGTTAGCATGGTTCGTGGGTTTGGTCACAGATGCTTTTAGCAGGTTTTTGTCGACATGTTTTGTTGGATGGGAGAGAGTCTCTTTAAATTGTAAGTAGTGGTCTGTGGGTGTTCCAGTGGGGTATGTTTCTTCTACTTCTTCCTATTACTTCTTCTTATGGTCCTATTATTCTCTTCCATTCCTGAGGAAGTGTACCGATGTCTGTGGTGGTAATGGTTAGGCTCTGTGCCATGGCACGATAGAAGACATCATGAAGTTGATTTCCTTATAATATAATACCTAATAAAAAAAAACCTGTTTCTTTATTTCTTTTCTTGTATTTTTCCACTTTCAGTTGATTGACCAGCGCTTGTCTCAGAGTGATTCTGTCCATGAGCAGGTGGTATGTGTGGAGCATGAGCTGGACCTCAGTGCACGCCAGGTGAGATATACTCTTGTTCTTTCTCTCTTTCTCAATCTTTCTCTCTGTCTCTTCTTCCATTTTGTACTCTCTATCATCATCTGTCTGTCTGTCTGTCTGTCTGTCTGTCTTTCTCTTTCTTTCTCTTTCTACCTCTATCTTTCTCTCTCTCTCACTGTGTCTTTCTCTTTTTCCCTCCCTCCAAAACAGCTGTGTGGTCTAGTCTTCAACAGTTAAAAGTAAAGAGCACAATGGGGAAAACCATCAGTCACAAATTGGAAATTTATTCAAGTATTATTTTCAGCGTGTGCACTACTTACATAGTTTCTCTCAAACACTGTCAAACCAAACAACAGGCTCAGTGCTCAATTAGAAACACCTTTTAAAAGAGGATACTACTCAAATAAAAAAAATATTTTAAAGCCCAATGTGTTTTGAACTCTAAAATTTGTTTTTCTCTTAACCAAAAATTGTGATGATCATTTCTCCGTTGTGGTCTTCTCCTCTACTGTGATCTACATTTTCAACATTTAATTTTAGTCTTGCTCTGCTCCCCTTATCGTTTCATGGAGGCTCCAGTTGCTGACTGGTGACTGAGTCCAGGCTCTTTACTGTTAAGCGAGTGTCAGTGATGCTGTGTTTTAGTGAGTGGTCACTGGGATGTGTCCTTGAGCAAGACACAATAACCTTATAGTTATCTTAGAAACTGGGCGCTGCACAGTGGCAGATAGAAAAAGTGTTTGGATTTTCTATGTTTGGGATTTTTAAAAAAATTATTTGCAAATGTGCATGCAGTGCATCTCTGATAACTCCACGTTGGGGATTGACAAATGTGTTTGACACACCAATAATTCGGGTAAACCGATATAGTGAAACATTAAAGAGATATCAATTGTGGAATGGCATACATGATGCATCGTCATGAAATCAGGCGCTTGTCAAAATAATGGACTTGAAGAAACTGGCATTTTTCCGCCATTTGGCAATTATTGTCAAATATTTGATGTTTTTGCTAAGCACCTTTTATGTTGATTTAAAAATGCATTTCTCATTGTGTTGATTTTACTGAAAAATGTTGATATATTTTAAAGCACATAAAATGTACTTTTCCAATTTTCAAGGACTCTCAAGCTATGGAAGTCACCAAACTCTGGCGGATATTTCCTCGCTAATTTTACCTCTGAAATCAGATGACCCTCACCTTTGTCAATCACTAATATCTCGATTCCTGTTCAAGATAGATAGGTATTTCTTTCAATTAAAGCAAGACAAACGAACAAGCTTGAATATGATACAGTCCGCGTCGGCTATAAGCACGTCGGCTTAAAGCACGTTTCGGACTTAAGCACGCTAAACGGCTCTTACCGAATTTTTGCTATATAAATTACACGCCTTTAAACACGGTAACTTCGGCTTTAGGCATGCTTCATTACAACAAGACAGTCAATACTTTCACGATGACCCATCGAAGTTCGAACACAGTCTACACTGCAGCGGTGGAGTGTGTTAAGGAGAAACACAGAAAACGCAAGTGATGCCAGTGATGGAGACACACACTCACACGGGCGGAGAGGAAGGAAGAGAGACGCACAGAGCCACGTGCGTGGACATAGGATCTAGCCTAGGGCAAAGTTACACACAGACTTAAAAATACAGAGTCGGGGAGACGAGAAAGGGCGGCTGGCTGCGATTTCACCTTTGACCTTCGCTATCCATTAATCCTGATTGTGTATCATGCGCGAGGTGGGATGAAGGCGGTGGTATGAATGTGGCACAGCGGGCAGTGGTATGCACAGGCAGCGTGTAGGCCTAGTGTGCTGTATCGTGACTGGCCGTCTAAATTGAGTTTTCATTTCCCATTCGATCACAAAACAAAAACAAACAAGCAAACAAAAACTACCATGGCGGGTGTCTAAATACCAGTGCACACTTTTGCGGGACCGCTATAGGCCTACTTACAAACAAAGGGAAATATCACGGGAAATATTTTCTACCTGAAAATCTCTGGATTATGTCTACTTCGCACTCAAGCACACTTCGGATTTAAGCACGCATATATGCTTTCTCCCGATGACCGAGCTTAAAGCCGGCATGGACTGTACCAATAACTGAACTCCATATATGCCCAAAGATTGACAAACACCTGATTTCACTGCATTACGACACACATATACTACGAGCTGTCCATGATTTTGAGTTTTCTGTGTTTCTGTTATCTGTGCTTGACTGTATTTGCATATAGTATAACACGGATAGGTCGAACACAAAAGGCTTGAAATCAGGCAGCCGTCGAAATGTGCCTGCGTTCCCATTCTATTTTTTTCTTTATAATCTCTGTAAGATATCCCTCGAACTACAGATCCCTCAAACTACCAAGGCCAGTCCTGACGAATTCGAGCTGTCTATATAGTACTACTGTAGTTATGTAGCCTAAACTACTGTCAAACAAATTTCCCAGGGGGATAGATAAAGTGGAATTAATAATTTTATTATTACAGTATAATACTATTACGGATAGCTCAAATTCGTCCCGACCGGCCTCAGTAGTTCTAGGGATCCGTGGTTCGATGGATATCTTATAAAGATAAAGAAGAAAAATAAAAAACGGGACAGCGATTTAGAGTCTTCTGTGTTCGACATATCTGTTTTATACTGTACCTATTATGTGTCCACCGTGATGTGTGATGTCAACCTTTGGTCTACCACTCCATGTTCCTCAGATGGTCAAACTCCTGTCTCAGAGGTCAGACAACATGCCCATCCTGTGTGTGGGTCAAGAGGTCAGTGGTAGGTCAAGGACGGTGGTCTTGTGCCTGCCTCTGTCTCATTGGCAGGTGAGCTTCAACCTTAGCCATTACCGATTTATTTTACGCTTTAGCAAGGTTTTACGGCCTAAAGACAACTTCAGTTAGTAGCACTGCCCTGGTGGGGGGTACCGATTTATTTACAGAGACTATAGCTCAGTAGCTTAGTTATTACAAAGTTCTATCTGACATTTTTTGGCCGTTTTGAGTTTCTAAGATCATGAGGTCAGAAGCCAATAAAGGTTCTATCTGCTCAATCAAAATCGTAAGATAATTCAGGGTCATTATCAAGATATTTAAAGAATTGCGTTAGAGAAAGGTTGACATGTTGTGAAGCTCAAAATGTTTGACGTTAAATTTCTCTGTGCCATTAATTTAATCTAATCTAGCCTTTTTTCTTCTCCACAGCCGCTTGGTAAGGAGGAGATCAGCAAGATAGTTCCACAAAAGGGTTCACAGAAGTCATCTGTTGGAAAAGCTGCCAAAACAACCAAACGTGCTGAAGTTTACACATTCTCTGTGTCAGCCGATACGCCCACTCATGTTCTGAGTGGCATGCTACACGCAGTGCTGAAGCCCAGATAACACAGCTGGGACTTTCCCCTACTAGAAGGATTCAGCTTGGAGATTTTGTACATAGAATGTCTTTTACAATTATTACAGAATACAGAATTTGCTTAATGTCTTCACATTTTTTGGAGTTTTTTTGGGGGGGTCTTTTTTGTGTTTTTAAAAGTTGAGTGGGGGGGAGGGGGAGGGGGAGCGGGCTTATTTTTCCGGTTAACTGTGTCTAAAAGAGGGGGAAAGAGAGAAAGAGAAAGAGAGAGAGAGAGAGAGAGAGAGAGCGAGAGAGAGAGAGAGAGAGAGAGAGGGTGGAAAGGGGGGGGGGGAGGAGGAGAGGATGTCCAGTGTCCGTTCTTTGGGTACCATGTTGTTAATGATCATATTCGTGTGAGACATACATTGACTCAGAGAATAAATATGTAAGCAAATGTTTTTAGTGTTATTTTTTAGGATAAAGTACTGAAGTTTCTACTTTTTAATTTTATCAGACCCTGGCACTGACACAAGTGTCTGTGGCCAAATGCCCTGATTTACACGGTGATCAAAAGCTGTTAAATTAAACATGCAATAAAGCACAACAAAGCACTTACCATGACAAGTTTTATTTCGGAGGTATTTTTTATGTACGCAAAATGAGCACAAGTATAACATACATTACTAAAATCAAAACCATTAGTGTGATTTACAGATAAGGAATCCTCACACAGCTGCCATGTATCAGTCATGTCCTTGCAATGGAAACAACAGTAATAATGTAAATAATGTAGCTCCTCTTTTTCCAACAGGTAACAAAGGACAAAAAAAAATGACAGCACTGCCACCCCAATGACCACATACTCAAGGCAACATACGGTATAATGATATAACGATACAATCTCCCCTCCCCCCCCTCCCTAAATTTTAATGGAAATGTAGGGCATGTCTCGGACAAAAAAAAAAAAAAAAAAAAAAAAGAAGATATTTCTTTCAAATACAGAACATATCCTCAGCGTCATTCATCATTTAGTTTATAGTTTTAGTACAGGTTTTGCGGCGCTCGCAAAATGTGGTCATATGAGTGCCAAGGGGTGGATGTCAACAGAGAAGTCTTTACAGGGAATCAGGCTTACTCTGCTCACCTCTCTAGCTTTAACAGTACAAAGTCTGCTTCGACTATCAAGGCACCCTGGGAATAGCAGGGGGTTCATTCATCGTTGTTGTATGTCAAAATACAAGGTTTTCAAGAGAAGCAAAAAATTGCGCTTCGAGCAGGATATTATCTTAATACAAAATGTTAAATTGGTCTCAATCCATAACTATTTAGGAATAGGAATAAGACTTGAACCGATTGATACGCCTTATAAGACTCTACAAAACACTTGATTTCCATTTTTACAAAATTTTGACATACTGCAATGTTGAATGACGGCGACAATATCGATGGGTGAGTGTAAGAAGTTACTATATCCACTTTTGGTCAAAATGGAGTAATCGATATATATATATATATATGGGTAGTAAGATTTTAAGCCATTCTTTTACCTCTGTAAATATCTGAGCCGTAGCTTGGTATCCAGATATTAACATGTTTTTTTACTGTGTCATTTACACGGATTTCAGAATCGTCAAAATTTCAAACTCGTTTTTCTTGAAACTTTGAAAAGTGGATATCATAGTCACTTCCTGCGCTCAGCTATCGATATGTCCATTGAAAATACAACAAAATAGTAAGCATAAGCACAAACCAATACCAACTACATTCTACATAGTGTAAACATCCAAGAAAAACTTAATTTACTCATCAGTAGGGATTTCTCAAGAAGTTATTATTCAACACCAATTTCATGAACGAGCTGTCCATCAATGTTCTGATCCTTTTAGCAAAAACTATAGTAATTTTTATGTACATTAATTTTTAATGCAGAAACATCTGATATTGAAGCAGAAAGATTCCCTTGAGGGACTAAAACAACATCTTCGTCAGATTTCAGGAACTCTGAAATTTCCATAAAAATGACACATCCATCAAAATTCACACTTTTTTCAAGTAACAATAACAGATAATAAATAGCATTTGTATAGCGCATATCCCCGCTCAACAGCGGGCTCTATGCGCTTTACACTATATTATTAACCCAGCAGACCATAGAACACTCCGAAACATTCTCGATTTCCACTTTTCATTTCCTGATAACAGCGTTTTTTCTGCATCTCAACTATTTTCGCTGACAATCCATCTTTTCCTCATGTCCTTTGGGACATTTTTACCCTGTTTCGACACATTCTCATCTTTCTCTAGATCACACTCTTCATCGATACAATTGAAATCAATTATTTGAATTATGAGTCTGCAAAGACACTGCCCAAGCTGAGTGGGATATAACATCCTGACAGACAGACAAAAATACTTGAAAAAGTAACTTATTTTGAATTTTGAGAATCAAACTCACATCTGACTTTGAATGCAACAGCAAAAAGCCTAACCATTACACTACAGATATACTAGTAAGATGACCTCTTCACTTTGTTAAGTTAAAGTAAGTCAATCAAGTTCACTGAAATCACCATCACAACTACATATGATCTCACTTCCCTTGAGAACCAACAATCAAAGTCACTAAAAAATCACCATCCCTACCAGTACCAGTGATGGCCATTCTACCCAAGCAAGTTAGTCACCATCACTGCTGAAGACGACATCTCCCCTCAGTACAAGTTAATCAACGTCACTGAAATCACTCCCCAGGTCATGCTCCTCCATGTCCACAAACTCCATTATCTCCTCGGCTGACACATTCTCTGTGGCGCTGATCTCTGGCAAAAACCCACCACCACCACCACCACCACTTCCTTTTCCTGCATTCCTCCCACTGCCCTTCACCATTGTAAGACCTGGATTACGGTTCTTCCCTCTTCCTTTTCCCTTCCCGGCAAAAGCCAGACCCATCGTTGGAGTTGCGGTTCCCTGTAGAGGGAAATAACCAGCTTTGGTGGATTTTGGGTCGTGTATGTGTTCCATCTGCTTTCTGAATCTGCTCATTTTGCTAGTAGTATAATCTTCATCTTCATCACTACCAAAGCCAACATGAGGCTGGGAAAACCTGTGGCTTCCAGGGGGTTTCTGGGATTTTTCTCTCTCAAATCTTGAAAGTCTTAGTTCTGAAATATCATCTTTACTTCCTCTTACATTTGACATATCAGACATTTCGTCTTCAAGTCTATACAACTTACTAATTTGGTCAATATAATCTTCGTCCTCATCATCATCAAAATTTTCAAAATCAACAACAGGTTGATCTAATCTCTGACTGGGAGAGGGTTTCAATGTTTTCACTTGTCCTAATCTTAATTTGTTCACTTTAGTTCCATCATTTCCCATTTGTCCAACATTTGACGTTTTCTCGTCTTCCAGTTTCGACTTCTTCCCTTTTTTGCTGATATTTTCCCCGTCCTTATCCCATACAGTTCCACCGATGGGCTGGTCAAAAGCTTGACTGCGCGCAGACTTCAAAGCCCTGGCTTGTTCCCATCTCAGTCTTCTCTGCCTGGCCGCTTCCTCCTCGGTTTGTGAACTTTGTCTCGTGTCTGACTTTTCCTCTCTAAACTTCACACTCTGTGAGTTACCCTTCCTCTCACCTTGACCTTCAAACACATCCTGTGACTGACAAATGGTTTCCACCCTTGTCTCATCACTGCAGCTTGACTTTGAAAGAGGAGTTTTCTTGCCAGAGCTTGAACTATTGGAACTTTTTGCTACCTGCATCTCTTCACCAGCAGTTGCCCGTCCTTTCCCTCTATGATCACTTTTGTTAGACTTAGATCCTGAACCAGACCTCACGCTTTGTCCTGTACCGCCTCCACCAACTCTTGACACATTGGATTTTAATTTAAGCTCAGCCTTGTCTCCTGGTTTCTCACTGCCACTTTGATGATCTTTTTTAGCACCAATCTTTCCTCCAGCAACTTCTTTCTTTCCTTCTCCAAACTCCTCTCTCTTGCCAAGTTTCTTCCCCCTCTGTTTCTCCAGTTGACCTACGACCTGTTCATCCATTCCGCCCAGAATGTCATCAAAGCTCTGCGTAGCCCTCTTCCTAGACTTCTGCTGTTTCTTCCCACCCTCAGAGGAAACGTTCACTTTCTTTTTGGGCAAAACTGTGGCTAAATCTGGTCGCATCTCCAAGGCTTCCAACCGCTGCTCAATAGAATTTTTCGCCCGGCTGCCTCGCAGCTGATGCAAAAGAAATTTCTCTCCCCGACTGCGCTGGTTCAGATACTCCAGGGTTGACGGGAGATATTGTTTGTTAATGATGGAGACGTCAGCTTTACGGATGTCAACTTCTTCCTCCTCACCTCTCATATCTGTCTCTGCTACCACATCACCACTCATTCTATCAACACTAGAATCACCCTCACTCCGCTGCGGATTTGAAGTCAAATCCTCACCCACAACAGATGAACTCTGCACACTCTTGGGAGTTCTCTTTTTCTTCATCAACACACTGCTAACTTTGACAGAGTTTGAAGCGTCTGCAGCCTGTTTATATTCCTTCTCAAGCACATTTCTTTCAGGTTTAAGACTTTGCGAAGTTGCTGTTGTGTTTTTTCTCTCCTTGGCTTTACCCGACACTTGCTGAGAAGAAGGGACATGAGAGGTTTGGACGTTTTCCCTCTGCTGTTGTTTGTCTTCCCCATCACCATTGTGGACTTGCTTGCTGTCTGAGGACACCACTTTCTTATTAATGCCCACTGTTTTAGGTTCGGTTCCGCGCCCGCCACTCTCTAATACACCAGTATCTTTCCTACTCCCTCTCTCCTCCTCGTCACCACTACTACTGCAGCTGCTGTCACTCTCCGACAAATTCACCGCCTTCTTCTTAACCGCAACACGAGTTCTTCTGACCTTTGCCTTTGTTGACTTAGGTTTGGCTTCTAAAGACATGACTCCTGTCTTCCCTCGTTGAAACAATCCCATTGCCGGCCGACTTTCCGCACTTCCTGTCTCTCGTTTCCCTCTCACAGACTTTTTCTTTGCCTTGGGACCACTGACAATTTCATCACCGACACTTTTACCAACTTCTGAAGTAGCAGCATCTTCACTCTGAACAGATGAACCAACATCCATATTATGTGTGGAGCTCATATCACTCTCCCACTCCTTAAGCTTTTCACACATGACAAGACCTTTCTCTCTTTCTTCCAATTTTTTCTTAGCATTTAGCACCTTAGCAGCCATGTCAGTCATAAAGGAATCTCTGTTGCTGTTTTCATGACCTGCACTCTTCTCATCCACGTTTTTTGCACCTTTGAGAATCTTTCTGCCTTTAGACTTCACCACAGTAGCACCAGAATTCTCTTTTGGAATTCCATTTTCATTTTCGGAAACTGCCGGTTTTTCTGCATCCTCACTGTTTTTGCCAACAATCCGTCTTTTCTTCCCTTTCTTTGCGACATTTTGAACCTGATCAGACACATCCTCATCTACCTCTGGATCATCCTGTTCATCCTCCTTCTCCTCCTCCTCATGCCTGCCTTTTCCTCCTTGTTTCTTCCTTTTCTCACTTCCCTTCCCACTCTCCCCAACAACTCGTCCTTTCCCTCCTTGAGCCTTCCTCATACGTTTTGTTTCTATATCTCCACTCATCTCATCCTCCTCCTCCTCCCTCTCCTCATCACCCCCCTGAGAATTTTTCACCAGGGACAAGGCTTTCTTCAGTCTGTCACTCCTGATCTTAGCAGACTGGACAAATGACTCAGGCTGAAAGTAGGCGTGGATACGACCTTGGTTCTGAAACACACACACACAAAACAAAAGCTTCAATCTCCTTACAATAAACTCACAGACAGAGTCTATCTAAACATTTTTGAGGACTCTGGTTTCCCAAAACACACAAAGAGAAACAGTGTGTACAATTATGATGCCAGAAATAGAGAGCCTACCTGTATCAACCTCATATTTTAGAGAGACTTATGGTAATGCGACAGCATAATTTTTTTCCAGAAAGAATCCCCCACCCCTCCCCCAGGCTGAAATTCTTCATCTTGTTGAACTCTTTCCCACAAAAAGTAGAGAAGTTATTTTATTACAAACTCCCCCACCCCTCCCCCCAAACAAAAAAGAATAATGAGAAACAAAACATACGAGTTACAGTCAGAATACTGAGTACGTATCTAGCTTAAGATTATTATTGTTTATACTACAATCCATTTATATTATGCATGTGACTGAAAACCTCCGTGTGTAAGCATGTTTGTTTGTTTGTGTGTGTGTGTGTGTGTGTGTGTGTGTGTGTGTGTGTGTGTGAAACACCAAACCAAGGGGCCAGGATCTGGACAATAAAGATGTCTCTTATCTTATCGACAAAGTGACCATAAATGAAAGCGTTACCTTCCTCTGAGTCAACTGCTTCATCATTGGGACCAAAGACTGGTCAGACTTCTCCCGACTCCAGCCAAACCTCAACTTGGCAAAACTTGGCTCAGTTAAAGAAAACATGGGTAATTGCAGGTTTTTTTGTCTTTTTTATAGCAGAGGCTTTTACGGCGCTCGCAACTGCATAAGGTCATAAGAGCGCCAATGGTGAGTTTCAACAGAAAAGTCTTTACAGGGAATCAGACTTAGACTACTCACCTCTTTAACTTCAACAGCACGAGGTTTGCTTTGACTATCAAGGCACCCCGGAAATAGCAGGTCACAAGAGAGTGACAAACATACTAAAGAAGTCGAGGAAAATGACAATAGTAAGGATCAGGAAAGAAAAAGCAGCAGTTCCCTGTTGTAGATCAAGCACAGTTATGAGCATGACATGAGTCAGCCCATTTACAATTCTACTATGCTTGAACGAGAAATGTCCCCCCTTTGGGAATGACCAAAGACACTACAGTCAGTAGCACTGCCCCGCGGGGTGTAATTGCAGTTTATGAAACCTTGAAAAGTGACAACTTTTCTTGATCAAGTACTCTCTTTATGACACTGTAAGACCAAAAAGGAAATTATAAAATCATGTCTAATTTCTCAATAAAATCCTGATACAGTCAGGAATGGACAACTCAAATACGTTGGGGATTGAAAAATGTATTCGATACTTCCATAATTCGGGTACACCGATAAAAAGAAAAATTAGATATTGAAAAAAATTAAGAGAAGTAACAGTGACGGCACAATGCTAGGAAAATATATCGCTGTAATGGACTTACTGTAGCAGATTCTTCGCACACAATCGTTTGAGTGATAATGCCATGCCTCTTTTTGAACCTGTCCAACCATCCTGTGCTGCATATGAAGCATATATGCTAAGTTTCATTGTGATTTCATCAGCTCCGGTCATCTCAATGGGACCACAGATAGGAAGGGACATGGCATAGTTGTGACGATGTGGCGGAATCAGGCGCTCCTCAATTTTTGGACAAATAGAGTTATTATCTTGAACAGAAATCGAGATATTTGTGATTGAAAGAGGTGGGGGTTATCTGGTGTCACAGGTAAAATTGGCAAGAAAATGGCCGCAAAAGTTTGGTAACTTCCAAAGACTGAGTGACCTTAAAAACTGCATATTTACAATTTTTGTGCCTTTGACCAACAGTTTTTAGTAAAATCTACACAGAAATATGTTTTTAAATGGATATAAAATGTGCTGAGCCAAAAAAAAAAAAAAAATTTCCAAGAAAATGCCCACCGGCCATAAAAATACTGGTTTCTTTGATTTCATTATTTATTTTGATAAGCGCCTGATTTTACCATAGTGCCTCCCACACACATGCTTGCTGGAACCACTGAAATAATGACCACTTTCTCCTCAACAATGGGTAGTTGTCTTGGACAGGTTCAACTGTAGAACTTAACTCTTAAATCATGTCTGGACGGTGGCAGAGGCCGGTAGTCGAGGTCTGTAACCAAAACTGGACAGTACTACTGTCCGATGCTAAGTTATTACTGGATTATGGTATGGGCCGAATATATAAAAGTATGAGCTATCAAGCCTTTAGTTTGACCCAGAAGTAAAAATAAATGAATTCTACGTCTGGGTAACGCTTTATCGATCAGTTTGACGCGAAACAAGTGGTTTTAAAAACGTATTATGTTGGGTCGCATAAAAAAACCCACTAGAGAATTAAGCGGAAACGTGATTTTAAATTGCATGGTTAAAGAGTTAAACCTATTATCTTAATCAGCATGAGAGTTTAGAGCTATGAGGTACAAACAGAGAGCACTTCAGACAATTAACCCTTCCAGCGTTGGAATATTTCTGAACTCGGGCATGGTCCCTGAGCGGTCAATTATTTTTGCATTGCTAAACTGACACAAGGTAATGTCAGAAAAACAGTCAGAAAACACATGCCACTGAAGCTAGAAACATGTATCATACATCATAACAACCACAAATGAATGAAGAACAAAAATATACATATATGTGTCACGACGCAGTGAAAACAGACGCTCGTCAATTTTTGGGCATATAGAGTTATTAATATAATCTAAGAGCTTGTTCCTTTGTCTTGTATTTGGCGAAAACAATACCCCTCTATCTTGAATTGAAGTCGCGATATTTGCGATTGAAGGTGGTAGGGTCGCCTGGTGTCAGAGGTAAAACTATAGAAAAAATGGCCGCCAAAGATTGGTGACTTTCAAAGCTTGAGAGACCTTGGAAATGGGAAATTTACACGTTTCGATTCAATTGGGTTTTCGTAACAAAGTTAGATCTAGTGGGAGCTGCCATTTTTATCCTGGGCAGCTAATGTAATGTAAATAAACGGAGTCCTGATTTTCATTCATAAAAGTGCCACAATTTAAAGGTTTCCCGTTTGGGGCAAAAACTAAGATGGGGAAACCACTCTTCTTTCGTCTTGTAGCAGTCTACGAGGAAGCACAACTTTGCGGTGAATCAGAAAATCTACCACCCTGTTATTGTGACATTAGTCGCAAGCGCTGCTCAGAGGGTTAACAACAGAGACAGGAACATTTTTAATGGAAAAATTTGACCCCTTTTGTGGAAAACTTGACAAAAGGATACTCTCTGAGCACGTCCAGCTCTGGCATTTTCCAGGCGAAGGACTCGGTCGATTCATCCACAGTCGGGCTCAGGTACGCCCGAACTACAGTCTCACTGGGAAAACCTGGCAAAGACGATCATGGACACAGATGAATCAAAGGCGAAATACTTAGATGAAATGAAGGGAGAGCTGAGGAGAAGAAGAGAGGTAGAGGGAAAGAGATTTGGAGTTGGAGTAAAGAGAAAGACATTGACACAGTTACGTCTATTTAACGCAGCAGTAAATGAATATAGACCCACAGAAACAACAGAGGGAGAGAAAAGAAGTAGGATCTATTAGGGGTGCACTCCAACTACCTGCAATTCGCACCTATGACTAGAAGAACCTTCATCTCACTCAAAAACAGAACAAAACTAGGAACTCCCCCTGTTGTCTTCAAAAGTCTCTACACGACCAAATCACCATTGCCCCTTGATTGATTTATTCATGTCAATGTGGGTGTAAAATAGTTTACTATCATAGCTCAGCAATGCATCATGAAAGATATAATTTTAACGATGGGGGTGTAAAAAACATTTGAAGGCTACACAGGAGAGAAACTGGTGATGTCCAAATCGCATCCTTCTTTTTCAAATCCCAACTACCAAACAAAATGATCAAACTTGTATAAAATAACCAGTAAGTGAACATTTCAACAGCAGAACACAAAAACTTCTTAGAACCCTAAACATGAAAACAAACCCAGGAATTCCCGGATTCTAAATTTTTCAATTGGTAGAAAAATGTGACACAACCAGTTTTTCTCCTATAGTCTCCATTTACAATCAAGACTAACCAGTTAATATCATGAGTGATCTCTTTGTATCAATGAGGGTGTGAAACATTAAAAATCAGCACAACTCACCATTGGGCAGTTTGAGGTTCTTGAGTCGGGCCCGTGTCTTGCTGCCAACCACCTGCTCCCGTTTCTTCATCTTCTCCCACCACGTCCTGCACAAAGGGGAAAAAAAAGAAACAGTTTCTGAGAGAACTTTCAAGCAGCAGCATCCTGTAAGCCAGTTTCGCAGGAGAGACTAAAAACTGTCCGTTTGAACTTTCCAGACCAGCTCAACTCAGATTTGGCATAAATGAATAGAGACAAACATCTGGAAAAAAAAAAACCAAACCCAAAAAACTTAGCGTGAAACGTATGTGACACTGCACTGGCTTCCAGTTGAGAAAAAGAATGATCTACAAGTTGGCCACTCTGTGTCACAAATGCTTGAATGATAATGCACCATCATATCAATCAAATCTGTTGAAACTTTACACTTCAACTCTCAGTTTAAGGTCATCGGCAGACAAAAAGACATTTCTTTTATCACCTATGAAACTTAAAACAATGGGGAAATGGCATTTGAATATCAAGGCCCCAAGATCTGGAATGCTTTGCCCAGTAGTTTAAGAGAGATCAAACCTTTAATTCATTCAAATATCATCAGCTAAAGTCATGTCTGTTCTTACAGTAATGTGATAAATATTCAGAGAGAGATTTTCTTTTGGTCAGAACACAGTGCACTGACTTTATGTTACTGTTGTATTGTGAAGCTCCCAGAGCCTCTGTACTTTAATCAAGGTTGAGCACATATATCACTATTATTATTATTATCATTTGAAGATGGTGCATTCAACCCTGCTTTATGACAGTGAAAAATCACGTCTTTAAAAATTTCAGAATTGCCCATTCGTTTGATAGCAAGAGGCTACTTTCAATAATCTAATTTTAACTGACTATAGTATCTTTGGTTTGGGACAGGGATGTTCCTGAGAGCAACAGTATGCGTAATAATAATAGTATTAACAACAACAATAATAATCAAGATGATGAAAATAATTATATCATCTTCAGTATGGGGTAGGAATCAATTAAAGAAAGTCATCTACTATGTTGAGGGTACTTCATAAAACATTTTAAAAATTAATTTTATACTGACCACAGTATTTTCATTTTCGAGTATGAATTAATTTCTCTGACATTATTCCCTCAAGGGTACTATAAATAAGTAATAAATAATAGTAGTAACTATAAATAAGTATTAAATAATAATAGTAACTATAAATAAGCAATAAATAATAATAGAAACGACAACAACAATAAGTCAGTGGACAAAAATGACTAGATTATCTTCAGTTTAGGGGAAGGATCCTTTCCAGTGTTGAGAGGGGTGTTAAACATATCATCATCATCATCAATCCTGAAGTCATGTCATCCACAGGGGCCCAACAGATGACTCTCCACTGATCTCACTCCACTCCTTCCCATTGTTGGGACTTGTTCATAGCCTCATATATTTTCAGGTCTGTACACTCTGAGAAGTTACCCTCCTATCTTTTCTTCTGTCGCAGGTGGTTAGAGGGCACCACTGGTAGGTCCTATTGCTTTCCTTTCCCTCTGTTGTCTCTGTCTGTTTGTCTTTCCTTTTTTTCAGCACTCAATGACCATTATTGAGCTGATGTGCTTCTCTTTACTCAAAGAAACAAATTTCATCTCTCTTCCACTTCTCCTGCCACCTTATATTGTGTCCTGAAGAGCAGTCTTAGCTGATCCACATGATTCGGCGACATGTCCAAATCAAACCAGTGCAATTTGCGTCCTCTCCAAGGGGATAGCAGGTCACTCCGAGCCTACAATAACCACAAACAATTTGCTAACTTAGAATTACAAAGTCCATGAGGTCAGAAATGAAATGCTCTGACATTTTTGTTCGTTTTGACTAAGACCATGAGGTCAGAAACAAAATGCTCTGTCTGCTCTATCAAAATCTAAGATCATTGGGAGTCATTATCATCAAGATATTAAAAAAACTGCATTTGAAAAAGCTTGACATAGGCCTACTGTGAAATCCCAAATTTTTAAAAAGTCAAACTTCTCTAAACTAGGTACTGAGCAGATAGAACTTTCCAAGAAAGTGAATTACCACCAAAAAAACTACCTGAATGCCCGAAGTCCCTCCGAGCCTGTCCCTGGAAACTCTGCCATGATCTCTAGTGCTCTGACCGGCCCCACACCTTGGATGCCCTCGGTGTAGTCGCTGCCGCACAGCAGTGCGATGTTGATCAGCTGATCACGGCCGATGCCTGAGGGGGAAGAGTCACAGACAGACAAAAGACTATATCGTATACCGCAGAAGTTTGGAAAATTTTTCAGCAGGTGTTTGGAAGACACCACTGTCAGGTCCTACATCTTTTCTTTCCCTTCATTGTTTCTGCTGTCCTATTTATTCCCTGCATTAAATGGTGCTTCTCTTTGGTCAAGAAGAGACCTTATTCACCCCACCCAGTGTTTAGAATTTCTTTATCTTCTGAGAACCAGATGTCAGTCAAGGAAAATTATACACAAACATGAGCACAATAGTGGGGGGAGCTGACTGTTTGCTCCGCTAGAATTACAAACGATTTCCTGTCAAAAAACTATTTTTAAAAAGTATATAATTCTAGGCCACCTTTCATCTAGTCCAGTACTTTCTAACCAGGGTGATATCACCCATGACTGGGTGATTTGATGATTTCGGTGGATGGACGGGATCACCTACATAGTGACAGGCATTATTTAATTCCTCACTTGGAAGTACATATACATATATATATATATACAGCTGGGCGGGGCAAACATTTTACATTGTTAAAGGAGGCAAAAGTGGGCACTGGCTATAAAAATGTTGACAAGCACCAATCTTGGGTTTTTTTCTACCCAAAAAGCCTGTAATCCCACGCTACCCTCAATTCTAGTCTCACCGAAGTGGTTGCTGATCCTGTCAAAGCTGTAGAACTCCACATGCTTGTTCTGGTTGAAGAAATTTTTGTACATGCGACGCCCGCCAAACAGCCAGATGTCACTGTCGTCAGTGATGGTGCCGTCAGTCTGACCAGTGATGTCCAGGTAGGCGCACTGAGCCTCTGCCTCCATGGGGCCCACAACGTACGGGATGCCGAACAGACGAAGAAGTTCCTGGGGAACAACAATGGTAATAATAACAATGACAATAACAACAAAATCAATGATAAAATTATCGGCATAATAAGAATAATAATGATACCAATAATATTCATTATAATTATATAACTTTGATTAATCTCTCCCCCCCCCCCCCCAAAAAAAAAAAACCCAACAAAAATTTAAAAATACCAAACCTCTTCCAAGAAGAGGAAAACAAAAAAATAGTCATGAACACATCTACGCAAAGCCCATTCCCCATTTAAGGACCCATGACAATTTACACAGGTATATCACAGCAGAAAATGGGTCATTATGACACACACTGCACAAGACACATGTGCACATCCTGTGTAAACAAGCACACACCCATACACGCATGCACTTACGTAGGTATATATCAAAACAGGAAATTCTGCATTATGAAATACAATCTAATACGCATATAAACAAATACTTTGTCAACACACACACACACACATTGTTCTCTCCCACAACTCCATGTGACAGGAGGTGACCTCACCTGAGCCTCTAGATTGACCTGGTCAGTCACAGACATAGCCAGTCGATTCTGTCGTCCTCGTTCCAGTAGCAGGGCCGTCCGTTCGCTGGCGAGTTCTGAGTTCAAACCCAGCAACTCTCCCTGAATATGGGGAAAGACCAGTGTGATTGTGAACGGTTGTAAACGTTTTATAACCCCCCCCCCCCCCAAAAAAAAAACAACAACAAAACCAAACAAACAAACCCCCCCCCAAAAAAAAACAACAACAACCCCCCCCCCCCTCAATTGATACAATTGTGTTCATGACACCAAATTTTCAGGCTCTTATCAATTGTTGGGGGTATGGATTGTACATATAATTTCATAGTTTGTTAAATTTTTCTTAGTTTTGATTTTAAAAAAACAACAACAAAATTACCCATTATAGAAGTCAAAATGTTTGACACTGATAAATCTTTTTCAGCAAAATTCACATAGAAATGTGTTTCTACTAGACATAAAAGGTTAAGCCAATAAAAATTTCATAAAAAATTGTCCAGAGGTCAGAAAAAGTTGATTTCTCGGATTTAATTGCTTTGATAAGAGCCTGATTTCATGATGAGAATGATGCACACATAAAAGAAATATGGCAATTTAAAAAAAACAACTTTAAAATTAAAATGCAACCATTAAACCAGAAGGAAAACTTTGTCTCAGATTATAGCCGTAGTAGTTAGTATTGTCTGTAGTGGAATATTTCTAAAAAGAGAATGAATATCCAACATCCAACATATGTCCAACATATATCCAACATATATCCAACATATATCCAACATGTACTACATGGAACAAAATGAAGTATATCGTGGATGTCCGACACTAAACATGTAACTGAGTGAACATTGATTTTTAAGAAAAGTTACTCCTCCCCCTCTATTCCTCTCTTAGTATTTACCAGAACAGCTCAACATTTTTATGTAGAGTGTTCTTTTTACATTTAAGAGTATAATATAAAAGATTATAATTACAGGTTGTGAACAACATAATATGAGGCAAAAAAAAGTAGTTGACCAAATGTGGCATATATAAAGAGTTCGAGTTTGAAACTGACAATATATGTGAGTACGCCTAGAAGAAGGTACAGTGGAATCCTGTTATAACGAGAGGGAGGGGACCGGTGCCATATGTCCGTTATAGCAGGATTCTCGTTATACGGGATCCAGTAATAAATTCAAGGGAAATAGTAAAGTAGGCCTAATCTATGAGTCTAGTTTTTGGTTATTTCTTTTTGTAATCTCCCCTGAAGATGCTTTGGTTCAACATGACCTTTAAGTCTTACTTGATCAGAAGTCGAATCAGGTTTCTTTCTCTAGCGCTAGCAATGTTGACAGCTCGGTGTAGGCAATCAGGAAGAAAGTTCTCTAGACTAACTCGCCCGCTGTGTTTTCCCCCACCCCACCACACCCTGTGGTGCATTCCGTCTGCATGTGCACAATGGAAACATACCACACCCCGCCCACGTCACACATTCGCTTCGTCCATCACAGTACAGCACTATGACCTCTCCATCCCCGCATCGGAGAAGTGAGAGGCATGGTAGGCCTAGATAATCTAGACTAGGCTGGCCTATCACACGATGCGTTCTGCTTGTCTGTGCATGCCACACCCTCCCCACTCATTCAATCCGGCCTTCATTGTTGGCACACGTGGGCTCTCCCATTTTTTGTTTCGAAAGATAACCAAAAAGTTTCTTAACTGGCGAGGTTTTACATGAATAAATGGCCTATGCGCTGTGCACAGCAGCAGCAATATTCCGCTATAACCGACTCGTGAGTTTGTCTGCTTGCGTTATAGCAGTATTTTATTTACAAAGATAAAGAAGGGGAAAAAACAGGGTTTTAGAAAAGTGTCTTTATAACAGACTTCTCGTTATTTTAGGACTCGTTATAAGTGGATTCCACTGTACCAAAAGTCACCCCAGACCGTTATGAGCTGCAGGCTGGTAAAGACAAAAATCATTTTTTGACCAAAATGTGTTTCCATTAAAAAAAATGATAGATCCAACATTTTTTTACAATGTGCTCAAAGGGTTTTCATTGAATTGACTTCTAAATGTTTTATTTTGAATTATTTTGAGGGAAGGGTATAATAAAAAAAAATAAAGAAAGATACTTTTAAAATGTGTTAAAATCTATAGTTGAAGCACGTTTTCTCTTCCCTGCTATGTTCTACCATTGAAATCCATTCATGGTATCGATGTCAAATGAATGCCAAATTGGACATGAATTTTCCATTAATAAATACATTTAAAAAATCGTTTTTTTTAAAAGTTTGTATGTGTTCTCACGTTTGTTAAACTTAAAAGTTCATTTTCTCAAAAATTATATTTTAATACCCTACCTCGCAAAATGTGCAATATCTCAAAAACTACTTGAGATATCTAAGAAATTATAAAACCCTTGTGTTCAGCATTGAATTTTCTATAAGATACAACCGTTACCTCAAAAGGGTCAAAATCCAACTCTTGGTACCTTTCTTTAGGCACACACACACATATATATATTGCATTTTCTGAGTTTTTTACTGAGCCCTATAAAACATTTTTTACAATACATGTACTACTGTGTGCACAAAATATATGACAAAAAAACCATTCATAGTTCTCACCTCATTGAGAGAGGCGTAGTACAAATCTGTTGGGTCCTCCTCAAAGTCTTCTGGCTGCAGTCTGTCTTCGCTGACACCACTCACCACTTTCTCCTTCGACTGGTCATGCTGTTCTTTCCTGCCTCCCTTTTGCCTTTCATTAACGTCCTCTAGAACTTCTTCCATTTCATCATCTTCTTCTTTTCCCTTTACTTCTTCTCCTTCTCGTCTGTTGTCGTCTTCTTTTTTCGCTTCTTTTTCCTCCTCTAGAATTTTCAGCTCCTGACTGAGGTGAAAAGACTCGCGTCGGGGGGGAGGAGAAGAAGGTTTGGAGGAGTCATCACCACGGGAAAGCAGAGACGTTGCCTCATCCATTTCTACATCATTACCTCCATCATCATCTTCATCATCACTATTATTCCCAGATTTTGTCGCACTTCCTGAACAGATCACCGCTGTCTTCTTAGAGTCAGTCACTTTAGATGGTTTTGCTGGGCTGGATCTTTTAAGTTTCCTAACTTCAGGTTGCTTTGTTGAATCATCAACTGCAGTCAAAGAGGAGGGAACATTTTCTGAAGAGTGCGCTGACTGCAAAGACAACTCAATAGCCAGCTTCAGTTGTTCATCGTCTTCGCTATCAGAAGAAATATATTTTCCCTTGACCGTCTTCATCTCAAAATCCCCACTCTCCGACAGACTTTGAGAATCGGATTCGATAACACTTTTCTTCTTCATCTCAGAAGCAGCAGAATAGGCATCTTTCTCCGTTCCTTCGCCCAGCCCTTCCCCTTCACCGGTCTCCTCATCCATGCCTGTCAAATTCTCCTCCTCCCCTTCCAAACTTTCCAACAGTTTTTGCTTCTTCTGCTGTAGTTCTTTCAAAATGTCACTCATCACATTTTTACGTTTATGGCCCTCCCCTGCATTCTCAGCCTGAGCTGACGTCTTTGACTCATCTTTATTCAAACTTCCTTTGTCACCATCACCAGCAGACTTCTTTTTCGGGTCACCTCTATCAGAAACTATCTCCCCTTTAGAAACAACCATGCCATCTTTTTGTTTCCGATGACCCAGTCTCCGAGTCTTTTCAGATTTAGCTGGTTCTCCGACTCTTGCCTCCACAGACGATGGAAATGATTTTGTCAGTTCAGCTTTTTCTGCAACATGAGAACCTTCTGTGGCAACTACGTCAAATATCCCCGCAGGAAACAGCTCGTCCTCCACAACAGGGGCAGAGGGATCTACGTTGATCTCGATGAAACCTTCGTCTAAAATAGGAATAATATGTGAGAACATGGCGATACATATATCTAAAAATATGTGCGTTTGCTTGTGTGTGTGCGAATGAATGGATAAGTGAATGTAAGTGTGTGTGTGCGTAAATAAATAATATATATAATGCAGAATAAAAAATGCAAACACACTATCTCAGAGCTAACAAGCCAGCCCCCCCCCCCCCTAATCCCCGGCTATATGTGAAATACACAACCAACATTTACTCTCCTCACGCAGAACACATTTCCCACTGTTACTTACCTTCAGATGAACTTGTGCTATCCATGATCCCCACGTCCGATCGACTTCCACTGTCCCACTCTCCTTCCTCATTCTCTCGCTCTGTCGCTGTAATCTTCATCTCTCCACCAGTCTGTGGCTTTGATGACGACCGTGACCCATCGACACCCATCACATCCATGGCAGAAGATCTCCTCCTTTTCCTCCCTTGTCTTCCTTTCCTCAACACCGAGGCTAGTATCTCTCTATCACTATCAGAGTCAGAGCCAGCAACATCAGCCTCACCTTCCTTTTTTGACACGCCAGTTTTCTTTGTCCCTGCATCCTTTGACAAAGGAGGTTTACTCTTTCCTAGCGCCGTCGCATATTCGTCCTCATCGTCCGACTCTTCTTTCTTCACCATACTCTCCACCACAAACCTCTCAGCCTCCTCCTCCTGCTTCTTCTTTGTCAATCCTTTCATGAGAATATAATGTGACGTGTCTTCCGACACAATCCTCCTGGCCTCCACATCGTCCCCGTAATAGTCATCACCCATCGAATATGCTAGATCGGCCGTCGTCTTGTTCCCCATGTCTTTCTTGATTGCTTCGATGCGATTGGTCAGAGTGCTCTGCTTCATCAGTTTCTTTAACTGGTACGAGGAAAAGTCATCCGATTCCTGGGGACCCATGAAAAAGATACAACCAATGTTTTAAGTTAACATTAAAAAGAAAAACCTCACACTCAAAGACGTTTTACTGGCATAGAAAAGATGATATGGCTATAGTTTAGTTTTTTTAGAATACTAAAACTTTGAAGAAGACGGGACGGTGAGGAGACTGCCGAGAACTAGACCAACTTATATTAGACTAATAAGCCCTTATTGTAATTACAATCCGCAAGAGGCGCACAAGAGTGAAAGAAGGGTGGGGGGGGGGGGGGGGCCTTCAAAGGCAAAGGACACAAACGAACCTCCGGCATCTTGGTAAGCCTGCTGAGACTGTGGTATTTCCTCCTCTCCTTCAGTTCGCTGAGAACCTCGTGCTGGATCTCCATGGGCAGCGTCTTGAACTCATCGGAGTCCGGGTGGACGTCACTAAGTGCTGCCAGGCCTTCCTGTTGGGGATAGGTTTAGTTTGACCCAGTGACATTTCATGTTTGAGTAAAAAGAAGTGCACCCGTACAGCAATCGTCATTACATGTCAAGAAAAAGCAGGACAGATACTCAATGGGGTGAGTTTTAAACTAAAACGACAAACACTATTTCGTTGTGTTTTGTCTTTCAGATTCAATGAGAAGTTTCTCAACAACATTTACATAACGCACTACCACCAATATTCATGCTTGTTTGTGTGTTTCATTTCCACCAACACCTTGCACCCAAATCACAATAAGTTGGGACGTGGGTCGCAAAAAACACCCCGACTTTTTTCCCCTGCTCAACAAGCATGGAACCAGCGACATTTTCAATCAAAGGTGAGAGGTTTTGCATCACAAAACAGTCTTTTTTTTTTTTGGGTTAGTGTTTTACAGCACTCGCAACTGCACAAGGTCATATGAGCGTGCAGGACACACCAAACATTTACAGTTGGTAGGAAATTTTGAATTTTGCCCGGGTGGCGGTCGATGCCTACTCTTATCGATTTTGGACCACCAAGGGATCTATAACGTACGCAACATGCACACCGACCTCCGAGATTTTTCGCCCTCGTCCGAGAAGGCTTGGTGTAAATCTTTCCTACCAGAAGATCAGGGGTATGGCTGAAAGACAGCAGTAAGAAGGAGCCAAGGAGAAACAGTAGAAAGGCAGCAGAGAGAGTCAGGGGCTCAGAGGAGGGGGTGAAAGAGGTGATAGGGTGGGAGCAGAAAGTGGAAACGAAAGCAGACGACAGAACATTGCTAGAGAGCAGTAAAGGAGGTGAAAGGAGACAATTTTAGAGAATACATTTTTTTCGGCGCTACCCGGATTCGAACCCGGGACCTTGGAATGAAAGGTGAACACCTTAACCTCTAGGCCACCAGAGCCCCCCCCCCCCAAAACAGTCTGAACTGCAGTGACGCATTGAAATAAAAGCTACACGGCAAACTTGACAAATAAAATATGCCTGATGATACAACAAATAATGGCCTGATGCGTATGTGTATAACATAAATAGGTCTAATTGTACATAAATAAATATATAAATAAAACATGACAACAGGACAACAGATACCCGAAATACATATTAGACAACAAACAATGGAAGCCTGATACATATATTACCTTAATCCAGTTTTCCTGTTGCTCGAATTCTCGTTCCCATTCTTCTGCATTGAGGTTCAAACTGGCAAAAGAAAACATTAAAATGATGGTAATAGAAAACGGATTAGCACATTATTTGCACATATTTTGACTTCTAATGGTGTACATTCACATATATCTTCACCAGATACACATTCATAGTATGAAGAAAGAAGAAAAAGGCAGGAACACTAAAACTGAAGTCAGTCGTCTTTTTTTTTTACCTAAATCATTTTCCGAAACACTATTAAATGAGTACATTTTGTTCTGAGGAAGATCAAAATAACTAGAAAAAAGACAATATGAAACGAGCTAGGTGCTCCCCACCCAAACGGCCAAACACTCAAAATAGATATTATATGCTTGCGTCCAGCACTGACCCAATCTCCTCGGCCTCAGGCAAGGGTGTGAGTTCAAACATGTCCTCATCTCGGTTATTCTTCCCCCTACGGACACCTGGCACACGGCCACTCGTGTTCCCGCCATCTCCCAATGCTCCTTTCACAACCTGGCTGCGCATTAGATTGCGGAGAAGTTTCTGAGCGATGTCGCTGCTCTCTCTTTCCGCTTCCGTTTTCCTCTCTTTCCTTGCAGCCTAGAAAAACAAATTGTGCAGGTAAAGCTTCAGGTCATATGATATACATTGTAGTGTAAATATTTTACTTCTTAATCCACACAGTTTATCTACCATTTAGACTAGAGGGCCTGCTGCTTTGACCCTGCAAGATAGGGCTAACCCATGCAATGACTCTGTAGACAGACGGAGATACTTGAGAAAAAAGATTTCTGAACTTGGGGAATTCAACTAATGCAATGGTGGAGAGCCTAACCATTGTACCACAGATGCCAAACAGTACCACTCAGACAGGTTTTGTCACAAACATCTGTGTCTGATAGGCCCAATTTGAATAAAAATAATATTATCCATGATTGGAAAAGAGACTATTATTAGAACAAATTTTAAACTCGAAAAAAACAACAACCCAACCAATTAATTAAAATAAGCGATAAAAAGATCAAACAGCAGCCAAGAAATTTTTTAAAATATATTTAAAAAACTAGTAATGACTAATTTTTCTCAGATGCGGTTACAATAGCACATACTTGCAGCCAAAACAAACAGTTTGATTAACAATGGTGCATACATTATTATAATATGTCATCAAAGCATACTATGGTTCCACAAAACACGAAGCAAACTACCATCAATTTACATACACCCTTACTCCCCCACAGCAACTACATATGAGGCATACAAATAACTTTTTAAAGGCTATAATTAGGCGCTAGATTCATCTATTAATTCACTCTATGCAGTTTTGCAATTTGTCACTTTTCTCAATTCAGTCAAGTAAAAACATAATTCATCTACCTCTGTCATCAACGGGCAGGCACCGACACGACCAGCCATTTTCCTCAACATTGTACTATCACACAATAGTGTAAGGCTGAAGTTTTCAATTTGTATAGAGATATTTAGCAAAGGAGTGAATGGACAACCATGATCGCCGATGTCTGCCGCAGATCTGGCATTTGATGATGATGATAGAGAAATTGAAATATACCTCAAAGAGATACAAGTTTTCAAGTTTTGAGGCATCTGACACAAAAAAAATTATGTTCAAGGAGTTTACAATGTAAAAAAACCCCCAACATATTTCAAGATAACTGTATGGAATTTTTACTGAAAATCAGAAAACAGCCAGCACATACCAGAGTCTGTCTCTTGAGGACAGGAACACCACCATCAAAGACAAAGACCGGTTTGATCTTGTAATAGAGCAGCTTGCATACACGAGTAAAGAGACCCTGTAAGGACATAATGATAAACACTTCAACACTCCAAAAAATACTTAACGCCGACAGTCACATGAGCAGAATTTGACTGCAGAGTAATATCCATCATTTCAATAAACGAAAGGAGTTTGGGTTGATGAACAGTTATAAGTGCAAATAGAAAAACAGTACATTTTACAAACAACCTATCCACTATTCAATTAAAAAAAGCAATTTACACACTCTTATATGCAAATCTCTCTTAATTCACGATACACATGTTATTATATTTTGCTATGTGGACAAACCTGTTTGATAATAAGCAAAGTACAACCTCCATATCGTCACACATCATTGTCACCCTGGATACCACACACAAGGTCAATCAGTTCAAAAATTGGTGCTATTCTTTACTTTTACTTTTACCACTTGTCTAATAGTGTTCTAGAAGTTGATTGGTTTGACTATTTATTAAATGCACATACCTGTAAATGTGCATTTGGCACAGGGTTCCCATCCTTGTCCCTCATTCCCTTCAAGGTCTGGTGCAACCAAATGCTGACATCTTTATATAAAGTCAAGGACTGAAGCAAAACTAAGTTTGTCATACTGTATGAGTGCTCTGTCCAAACAGAACCATAAGAAGGATAAAAATGAAACACATCACAAGTAAATGGTACTAGAGTAAAACCAAAAAAAATAGAAAGTAGTTCTCAATTTTCTTTCTGAAGCACATCACAGGTTGAATACTATATATATGTGTCACAATGCAGTGGATTCAGGCACACGTCAATTTTGGGGAATGTGGAGTTTTAGGTATCATCTTAAAGCTTATTCATTTCTGTTGCATTCAATGAAAAAAATAACCATAATATATTTTAAATAGAAGTCGAGTTATTTCCTATAGAAGAAGGTGAGAGTCAGCTGTCACCAGGTTCCAGAGGTATAATTATTGAGAATATGGCCGCCAAATTTGTTAACTTCTATAGCTTTGAGTCTTTGGGAAAAGAACATTTACATTTTTTGTGCCTCTAATCAATGTTTTTCAGTAAAATTCACACAGAAATGTGTTTTTAAATAGACCAAAAAGGTGTTGAGCCAAAGAAAAAAAAAAAAGGGCCAAATAAGTGGAAAATGCACTTTTCTTCAATTGATTTCATTATTTTTGACAAGTGTCTGATTTCACCACAATGTCTCACATATTACTAAGGACAAACAAATTTAACAGAGGGTCATGTTAAGTCAGAATGAAAAATATATAGCTGAAATAACTGATGACTGATGGGCCTGTCTTGTGGTACTGTAGTTAAAGTGCAAAATGTTAAGTAAAGAAAAAAAACCCTCAACCATCATGGTAAAGATCAACATTCATTAAGAACATACCGCATATTGAAAAAAAAAAATGAAAGTCAGAGTACAAAATACACTTCATTGTGGATTATTTCACGTTGAAATGTTGATATAAGCATCAAACTCAACATAATTATTATAGTAAAGACGGGCGGGAAGCACTTTTTCCTTCCCGAGCGAGAAGACCAAGAAGCTGACCTATTTCTCGCCGGGACCGGTACTGGTCCCAAGAAGTGCTTCTCGTCTCATTACCTAATTCTCGTCTCTCGCCGTTGGACGACCAGCTCGCTTAGCAAGAAGGCCAGCCGTGGCCGGAATCTAAACTAGGCTAGCCCTGTTGCGCAGGCAGTGAAGGAAGGTAGTGAGACCTTAGCCTAAGCATAAGTCCTGACCAACTTCCCCCACTCGCCTCGCCTCGCCACCCTCTCCCCTCCCTTTCAGTTTCAGAAACAGGATGGCACTGTGATGGGTGACACTGTCTGCGTATCATTTCTCGCTGGCTGTGCCTCTCATTCTCTCACTCTCTTTACTCGTTATGTCAAGCCAAAGAGCGGTATCACTTCTCTGTACCGGCCAGTACTTTAGTGGCCGGAAAGTGACGGGAAGGGCATTTCTCGCGAGAAACGGGTACTCTTCTCGGCTCGTGACCATTCCTATATTATAGGCTAATACCCACATTTTGGTGACTGAGAAGGGGAGGCAATATTGTTAGCGCTACAGAAACAGCGCATTGGCACTTTTAAGAGATGCCTACAATCATCACTATTTAATCCCAAAGGTGGGCAAAGAACCATGTGGACTCATTACACTGTACATCAAGGTACGGACTGCCCTTAGTAATACAACTGATTCAACTCGCAACCTTGAAAAATAAAAACATTTGATTTTGAAGGTCAGATTCAAATTAAGTTGAATTCGGTCATATTGTGCAAAAGCAGTACCTTTAGCCCCATTCATGAAGGAAAATCTGGCAAGCCCAAACTCAATCCAATAAACACAACTCACGGTGTGTACTGGGTATTAAGAACACAACTTGCTGACTATCCATCTACATTCCACCACAGCGATATAATTGCTTGACATTCTTTGTGAACCACCTGATTCGCTTACACTTGGGCTCTAGCAGATTAATAAGTTGCACAAAAATGACAAAATCTCTTCAGAATAAAAATGCACTTGTGAAATAAACAAAAGGCAAGGATACCAACAGCAAGAACTTTTCCATCCAAAGACTCAAGAGACACCGGTCGCCCTGAAGGCTGGAGCAACTGCCAGAGCCCATGCACACCCATAACTGGGGGGAAAAATTGCAGTTTTTAAATTAAAAAGGTCGTCAGTGGTTGTGAACAATCAGTTATACATCACCCTTCAAACATTTCCAAGCCCTCCCCACCCCCCACCCTCTCCCTGCGCCCAAATAAAAAATCCTACTTCCACTTCCACCATAAATTTGAATTCTTGATCTTTATTCAGTGGAACTCAGATTTAACGAAAACCCTGATTCAACGAAAAGAGATCTATAGGTTTCCCGTTTTTTAAACTTAAAATCAATAAAAATAACTTGGTTTCAAGTAACAGATTATAAATGACATGAGCAAGCTCGGATTCAACGAAGTCCTCTGCAGGGTGAACAGTCCCCACTGATATGGTTTCACTAATTTTTCTCCCGCAAAGAACTTTTTCTTTTCAAGGAAGCCATCAATGGCATCTGCATCGTGCACTATTACTCGCTTAGCCTATTGATTATATCATGTGACCAATTAACGGCCTTCTTTCATGCCAACACACACGTTGTTGGCACGCATAGACGCATGACATTTCCATTTTTAGCGTGTGTTGGGGTTTGACAGGCAGCCAGCACACGCAAGACATGTGATGTGTGACTGTGCGTGTGTGTGCATGCATGTGTGTATATGTGTGTGTGAGTGCATGCGCGTATGTCTGACTGGAAGGGGCACAAAAGCGGTTCGGGCATGGAACGTCACTAGTCAGTAGAGATAAAAACACGTCACAGTACTCAGTCATTTCTCCCCCAGCTACCGATTCATATTGCAAAGATTCATTAATGCTAACTTCTACACGGATCTACGAAATGAATTACACCTTGGTCTGTGGAATCAAACGTTGTCGTATGCTAGGCTATACACAGCAACACAACTTTTTCAGCAAATAACACATCATAGATGATAGGAGACACATGCATGCATTTAAACTTATTTGACCTCTTTAGCACAGTGTGTGCTTGGAAGACTTCAGTGTGTATTTTCCTACAATTTTCCAGCATTTCTATGGAATGGCATCAAAGAATGGAAAAATGCCTCTTATTTCAAACCAAACTATTTTTGATACAGGAAGTTGAATACATTATACATTACTTGTTCAGTGCCCATAATTATCTACACAAAAACCTCATGTTTGCGATATATAACGAACACTCGGATTCAACAAAATTGAAGAAAGGTCAGGCCCGATGACTTTGTTGAATCCGAGTTCCACTGTATATATGATATATACGCCATTTCCAGTCTAATTTAGAGGTTGATGCCATTTTGCTAACTGCGCACTAGCAGAATATGAGACCATCCATGGCATTTAAAACCACTTATAATAACCTAATTAATTGTCTGTTTCAATTTTTGTCGAGCAAGTAAATGATAAAGAGTGTAAAACTCTTTAGCAACGTTTATTACTTCTTGTGTAACAGTGTGACCAAGTGTCCCTATACAAGCAAAAATTATCTTAAAGACTTCCGTAACTTAATATCCTACAAACATAATATAGAAGAGTCCTAACCCTAACCCTAGCCCAAACCCGAACTCTTGAAGTCTAACCCTAGCCATATATTATCTTTTTATCTCCGAGGTGGGTAAACCCACTAGGCTGAGGCCCGTGTTTGGTACAAAGTCTAAAAATGACAAAACCATCAATAAATTGGCAATTAAATCGAAGCAAGTGAACCTATTTCGATAGTTCTTCATCTAAAGAATGAAATCCCGGTAAAAGTGACCGGAAGTCGATGTAAAAGAATGTGCCCAAGCGGATCACTGGCACAGTGGTTCTGACGACTAGCTACTGGGAACGGCTTGCCGGAGATAAAGAGATAACGTAAACCCCAAATCTAGACTTAACCCTAACCCTCTATCACTCTATCAGTGGTCGCTCGTTACGAAGTTCCTCCCATAAATTTAAACTCTTTAACTAGCAAGCCACTCCCAGCAGCTCACAGTTGGAACCACTGTGCCCGTGAACCACTGACAACGGCTCGGGCGCATTCCTTTACAACGACTTCGACATCAAATCAAATAACTTTTCAGCAACTGCGGAAACGAAGTAACTATTAAACAAAAATTATATTCGGACTCTGAATCGAGTCCAGCATGACGTCCGTTCCGACTTCCTACTTTTATTCCTAGAGATATTTCCAGCATTCATGAAATTTTTTTTTATTAATGATAACAATCGAGACCTGAGCTTTAATATAATCCAGTTACTAGATCTCTATCTAAACTGGCTCTTCCTGCACCATTAGTATGAACAGAACAACCAAGTTGAGTTGACCTTGCCGGGGACAGAGTTAATTTTATGTCGAACAAGGAGATTACATGTAGTGATCACTCACTTTCGGCTTGCTGGGGGAAGAGGTGTTGGGAAGAGGCCAGGGCTGTTGATATTGTCAGTGATTTAAAAAAAAAATTAACTAGGACAGAAAAACTATAACACACAACAAAATGTAATTAAACTTGTGGAAAGACAATTAATGGTGGTGGAAGTAATAATGATGATGCTGTAGTGGTGGTGGAAAGACCCTGAGTTGTCGGTTACCGTGTACGAAGACACTGCCATTGGGCAATATAATGAGAGTGCAGTCTTTTGACTTTTGACACAATTACACAGTCCTAGATCTAGATTCTAGTAGGTAATTCTAGTTCTAATTCTGGTTTTACCTAAAATTCCCCAACAACATGTAGATCTAAGCTTCTTACACTCACTAGAGAACTCACTTAACAAGCCGAGTCCGATAATATAAAACTTTTTTTTTAGCCGAGTCCGAATTAGATCTATATCTATATCTAGATCTAGATCTATATAATCTAGATCTAGAGTCTAGATCTAGATTCTAGAGGTAAAACCCTCGGCCTCTAGTCCGAATAGATAAAAAATCTAATCAGACTCGAGTCCGAATAGAGCTGGCCTTGCTGATAACAGGTTAACAGGTCTTCTTTTATCAGGAGTTCATTAGCTTAACATTATAAGATGAAAAACTATCCAAATACCTAATCGGACTCGAGTCCGAATAGAGCTGGCCTTGCTGATAACAGGTTAACAGGTCTTCTTTTATCAGGAGTTCATTAGCTTAACATTTTAAGATGAAAAACTATCAAAATACACAGGTTCACTTTTCTTATTATGAAATAAAGGGGAGGACTTCCGTAACGAGCGACCACTATGAGACAGAGCAGAATTGAGGGCTTGGGGTAGGGGTAGGGGTAAGGGTAGGGTTAGGGGTAGGGGTAGGGGTAGGGGTAGGATTAGGGGTAGGGTTAGGGTTAGGGTTAGGTCTAGACCTCTTCTTTATTGTGCTTGATGGGGTGGTCGCTCGTTACGAAAGTCCTTCCAAATAGAGTGCCCTAACATCTAAACTAACAATTCACATTCACGATGTTTTTCAATGCCAAAAATCATGTTCAGGGCCCTTAAAAACCAGTAGAATGTTAGTTACAAAATAATACCCTTTATGAGACGGGAGGGTTTCTATAAATTTACCGACTCATTTAGTTTAGTGACCTTTGTGTCATTTTTAGATTTGTACAGAAAGATCGATTAAAATTAAACAATAATAATAATTATAATAACAATTACAATTGAAGTCCGCCTGACTGAGTCCTGATGAAGACAGAAGTTGTTGAAGACAAGAGAAAGTGAGAAAGACTGTTTTCCATACCTTTTCTTATTGAACCAAGCAGAGAGTAGAGTCTGCGTCTTTTCAATTAATTGTTCAGCCCAAGCAACTTAACAGGATCATAGACTTTTGCGGAAATACAGCATATCAACCGACCCACCCAGTGACAGCCTGTCTTCTGATTCTACTGCTTCAGCAGAAAACGCAACCGAAGAGGCCGAAGGCTAGATCTAGATCTATTGAAAATTGTAAACAAATAATTTCGTATTTCGTTTCATTCATTAACTAAATCTAGATTCTATTTTTACATGACCGTTCAGTAAAAAGGCTACCACAGGTGCCAAACAGTGTGCGGAACAACAAAATTAAAGGATACTAGGGCCTAAAATGAAATCAATATTCGGAACTAACACACAGAGAGTCTCAGTCTAGTCATATTTGTATTTTTATGGATTCAACAATAAATTCCTTCTAGATATATAAGGAAAATCACTATAACGTTACAGTATTTCTGATCAACTTGGCAACTAACAAAAATTTTTGGGGACATAATAATGAACCTGTAGGGCCTCGAAAATATTAATTTAAATCCTAGATCGTGTACTGTACTGTCTTGGCCGCCCGTCTAGCTCTCTATAAAAACCTCTAATTATGTTAAGACTCAAAAACGTGTTTGCTTCTACTTAAGAACGCACAAAAACTTAAAATGTATAACAATTACAAAAAGTGTAACGATCGACCGCCCAAGTTACTAAAAAAAGTTTGAGGACAAAGTCAATGATTATAAAAACGGTCTCTGGACAAAGTTAAAAAGATACTTTAAGCTTCTTATACATAAATAAGTTTGGATAGTGTTTGGGTGTACAGACAAACCTATAAAATGCTAGCACCTGTGTTAACACTCAATGACGTGTTGGTTCCTACATTTAAGCAGGCTGAAGATTTATTGCTCCATTCCAGTAGAGTGTAAATATAGTAGGCTAAGGCCAATGACTTTCGGTTGATGTTAATGCACCGATCATTCCTTTCATCGAAAGGGGGCCCTGCTAGTATTATTGTAAGTTCGTATAATTGGCCCAACTACAGTAAGATATAAACCTCGAACTACGGGTCCTTCGAACTACCGAGGCCGGTCCAGACGAATCCGAACTTTCCGTGATATACTATATAAACTAAATATTATATTATATTTGCGAGCTAAAATTCGACTTCATTCATCTTGCATTGGAACTGCGTACTCAAGTAATACACCTCTACAAAACAATCAAAGGCTCTACTTCACGGTGAAGTAGGCTCTAATTATGTCACGTTAGGTCAGGTCCTGAGCACACATGATGTCAGCATGGATTGTTGTGTATGCCATGGTGAACAGTCTGAGATCGCGAATTGATATTTTTAAAATAAGGCCTATATTTCTGGTGTTGTTGTTGTTGTTGTTGTTGTTGTTGTTGTTTAATTTTGTTTTGCTTTTAAACTGTTTACTGTGGGCGATACTGCACCTGCTGGCAATGATGAATAGATTTGGTGTCTTTACTGTCGTAGCGCCAAATCGGTAAAAACGTCATCATGGCTCGTGTTAGTCCTAAGAAGAGCGGATTTTTGTTTAAAGATCAGATTGCTACTATTGAATATACAAACTATATTTAGATGAAGCACGGGGAACTTGGTACAATGTATAGCATGGGAGA